AGCTGTACTGGACTGATGGGGAAAACATAAGCATGGCTAACATGGATGGTAGCAACCACACCACACTTTTCACCAATCAAAAAGGACCAGTAGGTGAGCAGATGTACCCCTCTTGCCAAAAATAACTGACTGCAAAATAATACTCAATCTCTGTTTAACTCTACAGGGTGAAAGCAGAGATTAAGCATGTTAGTCTAAGAGATTTATATCTATAATAGCATCATTTTTCTTTCCACTCAGGCCTCTCTATTGACTATGAAAAAGAGCAGCTGTACTGGATCAGCTCAGGAAACAGCACCATTAACCGCTGTCAGCTAGATGGAACTAAACTGGAGATCCTGGAAGGTGTTAGAGGCAAACTTACCAAGGCTACAGCTCTGGCTATTATGGGTAAGATGAAAAAGACGATACTTCAAATGTATCCTCTTTGTATTCAAATCCTGATCTGAAAGTCAATAGTTATAACATATTACTGCTTATATTTTAAAAGACATCAATATCTCAAAAGGATAAGATACAAATATATGAATCAATTTCCATCACTATAGGAGACAAGCTGTGGTGGGCAGACCAGGGAACTGACCAGATAGGAACATGTGACAAGAATGATGGAGGAAACTGGAAGGTTTTGCGAAACAATACCTCCCCTATGATGCACATGAGGATCTATGATGAGGATGTGCAGAAAGGTAATAAAAATGTTACTGGTTATGTTTTTGTCAGAAGTTAGTCAAACAATAAAAAATAAAACTAGGAAATAAAAATATTTTTCTTTCTTTTTGGGCCTTACTGATCTTCTCCTTTTCCTTTAGCGGGTATCAACCTCTGCAGTAACAACAATGGAGACTGTTCCCAGCTTTGTCTGCCTACCTCACCAACAACCAGGGCCTGCATGTGCACTGCTGGATACAGCCTGAAGACGGGACAGCAGTCCTGTGAAGGTAAGACTGCTTCACAGCTACAGTCACACATACAGTAGGAATGCAGTGCGTGTCCTAAAAACAAAAATGTATTGTCCTGTCTCTGAGCAGGTATGGGCTCTTTCCTGCTTTACTCTGTTCATGAGGGAATCAGAGGAATTCCACTGGACCCGGCAGACAAATCTGACGCCTTGGTGCCAGTGTCTGGCACCTCCTTGGCCGTCGGCATCGACTTCCACGCTGGTGAGTGACACTGAGGGACGTCAGTTACTAGATGGCCTCACTTGAGTGACATTTTAAAGCTGTTGTTATCTTAGTGTGAGTAGTTATAGGCTGACACAAAAGGTCTTTTTGTTTTCAGAGAATGACACCATTTACTGGGTGGACATGGGCCTGAGCACCATCAGCAGAGCTAAGAGAGACCAGACATGGAGAGAAGATGTGGTCACCAACGGCATTGGCAGGGTGGAGGGCATCACCGTTGACTGGATAGCAGGTCTAGTCATAACAGATTTTAAATCATATTTTAATTCTACTTTTAATAGATAAGGAGCACGTAGCTGATTTTAATCTGTGTTCTTTTATAGGAAATATTTACTGGACTGACCAGGGCTTTGACGTGATAGAGGTGGCCAGGCTGAATGGCTCCTTCCGCTATGTAGTAATTTCCCAGGGCCTGGACAAACCTAGAGCCATCACTGTCCACCCAGTTAAAGGGTAAGGCTTATTGCCAACAGTTAAGTTCTGCCTTCTGTAACACTGCTGCCTTTAGGTACTGCACTTCCAATGTAGTTTAAACCATGCTACTACATTTGTAAAATGCACTTTTAAAGCCTCTTTTGTTTGTGTGTGTGTGTGTGTGTGTGTGTGTGTGTGTGTGTGTGTGTGTGTGTGTGTGTGTGTGTGTGTGTGTGTGTGTGTGTGTGTGTGTGTGTGTGTGTGTGTGTGTCTGTGTGTGTGTGTCTGTGTCTGTGTCTGTGTCTGTGTCTGTGTCTGCGTGCGTGCGTGTGTGTGTCGCGTGTGTCTGTGTGTGTGTGTGTGTCTGTGTGCAGGTATCTGTTCTGGACTGAGTGGGGTCAGTACCCTCGTATTGAGCGCTCTAGATTGGATGGCACGGGGAGGTTGGTCCTGGTCAATGTGAGCATCAGTTGGCCCAATGGAATCTCCATCGACTACGAGGTGTGAAACACAGAAAATCATATATTTCCTATGTCTGTCTATGTCAAATATACTGTTAGTTTTCCAGAGACTGGTACATTGGTCAGCTTTTCCTTTATGCAACGAGAATTATTCATATTTTTTACTGATTAAATTATAGTAATGGTAATTTGTTGTTTCTTAAATCATTAAATTATCAATTTAAATTGTAATATGTAATTAACTCTACTTAATGTAGCCTCAATTATAGTTTTAAATGATTCTGTGTAAATTCTGCCAGTCCCCCATATTACCTTATCTGACAGATATATACGTAACTTATATCATTTTTTTTTTTTTTAGAGCTGCCACAAGTTTTAATTTTTGCTAATGCTGATCATCTCAAATCCCACCTATAAATCCTACAGTGAAGTAAAGCATTAGGTGCTGTGGCAAACAAGCTAAAAGGGCCATTAGAATGATTTCTATTACTTCTATGAGTTTATGAATGAGTGTACCAGCAAGCCAGTCTCTTGAAAACCTCTTTGGTTTGATTTTAATTTTAAAAATGTGACCTTTCCTGAATAATCAACACTATTTTATTTCTGTTTTGTCCCTACAGGAGGGTTTGCTTTATTGGTGCGATGCCAGAACAGACAAGATTGAGCGTATCAACCTGGAGACCGGAGAGAACAGGGAGCTGGTGCTGGCCAACAACAACATGGACATGTTTGCTGTATCTGTCTTTGAGGAATACATCTATTGGAGTGACAGGTCCATTCAGTAGTTAATTAATTTGTTTATTGAACCATCTTTTTCCATTATGTAGTTATACTTGTTAATTTATGACAGCTTTTGAGTCATGTGGAAAATTTCATATTGTATCATGCTGTTAATTGACTCAATGGTTTTGTTGTCTTTTGTTTAGGACTCATGCCAATGGCTCCATTAAGAGAGGCAACAAAGACAATGCTACAGATGCTGTGCAGCTCAGGACTGGCATTGGTGTGCAGCTGAAAGACATAAAGGTTTTCAACAGGGCCAGGCAGCAAGGTAGGAACACACACAAAGCACACACACTCCTAAACTTAATCAGAAACCCCCCCAAAATCTTTTATGCTGTGAAGTTTGGTAAAACCGTCCTTACAAGACCAGTGGACTGCCTCCCTTCAGATGGTCCTCACATGTATACAAAACAAGCCCTCACACACACAATGATAAAAAACTTTTACCACCCAACTTAATCAACACCCCCCAGGAATCGATGAAATGCTGTGTTTAACCAGGCTCATTATTTGTTTAACAACACACCTCATAAACGTGTCACACTCTCCCCAGGCACCAATGTCTGCAAAGACAACAACGGCGGCTGTGAACAGCTGTGTCTTTTCCGTGGCAACACTGAGCGCACCTGTGCCTGTGCTCATGGCATGCTGGCAGAGGACAACCGCAGTTGCCGCGACTATGACGGATACCTGCTCTACTCTGAGCGTACCATACTGAAGAGCATCCACCTGTCTGATGAGACAAACCTTAACGCGCCAATAAAGCCCTTTGAGGACCCTGACCACATGAAGAACGTCATCGCCCTCAGCTTTGACTATCATGGTGGTGGAGGGAAGGGAGCCAACCGCATCTTCTTCAGCGACATCCACTTTGGCAACATCCAGCAGATCAATGACGATGGCACAGACCGCAAGATTGTAGTGGACAGTAAGTATGGAGTCATCAATCACATGTAATTTCTTTTCTACACCTCAGAAAAGCCACAAAATGCCGCTAAGCATTCACCTAAACCTTTCCTCCGCTCCATCTCTCTACATATATTTCAGCTCTGTTGCCTTGTGGTACCATTTCTTCTATTCTGTCTATTAATAATTGAATGTTGTCCCTCATCTCCTCAACACTGTAAACAGCCATCATCTCGCATTTTGACAACACAAGCACCCAGGAGGATCCACTGTAATTTACACACAGCTGCAGCTTCTCAACCAGAGGAGATTGACATCACTTAGGGCTGCCACTTGAAGACACACAAACACGCACACACACTGTGCTTTTTACTTGTTTCAACACTGAAGTGTCTTTTAAATCCCACTCTCTTTAAATGATTCAAGAGTAGGTTGTTGAACTCCATCCAGAAAAGCATCACATTTAAAAGCCCTGGACCAAAGCTGTTCATAGCAAGCAATATTCAAAACACTAATTCTCTAATAGGAAAGACAGGAAAACAATTAAAGTGCATGGGGTTAGTGTGTTTATTGATGTTGCATTGAGATCAGGGTTTTGAATAGATACTGACAACAAATGATGGCCAGTTTTTACACATTAGTTTTTCATCCACCAATGACAAAATGTATTCCAGTTGAGGAAGAATTTAACACAGCTGAGGTTAGAGGAGTGTTATCAATTTCAGATCAGACTTAAGGCAATAAAACAATATAATCATATATTGACTTTTTGTAGAAAAATAACGTGATTATATTTTTAATTGTGTCACTGTTTTATTACATTCTAGAGGTTCAGTGTTCAAGGTTCATTTATGTATCATTGTACAATATAGGGTTGTACAGGGAATTACAAGCTGTAGTCCCTTTATGCTACACACCCCCAAAAAAAAGGAAAGAAGCTGCGTTGTAGTCTGGTGGTACGGCAGCGGATACTTCTGTATCGCTTGCCAGATGGCAGCAGGTTAAACAGTCTGTGGCTGGGGTTTTGTATTTTAGTATCCTTTGGGCTGAGCAAACACCTCACCTCACCTCATTTTGTTTGTTTTTAAAAACAAACAAAATTAGGTTTTTAGTTCATGAAAGGTTTTACCTGATTCAATATATAAATATGGAATGAAGTTAATTGCATTTAACATCACTTAGTTTTGTATATGTAATCCTGCATACATTTTCATACATATATAAATATTTACATATATATTAATTAATTTCATGATATTTTTCTTAAGCAATATTGCCTACCCTAGGTCCAGGAATAAGCAAGTAATGAGGTAGCAGTGTTTTCTGTTTAGCTCAAGAGTCAGTTTTGGCCTCTTTCTGAGGTTGTGTCGAGCTCAAAGGGCTGTACCATGTCCCTGCCCATCACATGAGGGCAGTCAATCAGACAACTTTTGCACCATACCCAGCGTTCTCTCCCCAGCTCTAGTAAGTCTCGTCTAAACTTCTGAGACATAAACCCATACAAGACAGGGTTTACCACTGCTACTGAGGAAGCCAGCAGTCTGGCCAGGAGGGCAATGATATTGTAGCCAGGTGAGCCTGTTATTGTTCCTCCGATAAAGGAGAACATGAGAGCATAGGAGGGCAGCCAGAGGAGAGTGAAGACAAGGACCAGGAGAGCTGAAGTGTGAGTGACCTGGCTCTGGTAGCGCTCCAGCTGGGGAGCGTTCCCCAGCAGCCGTGCATGTCGAAGAAAACAGTAGATCTTGGCATACATCACTACAATGATGGCCAGTGGTAGAGCGAAGCCGAACAGGAATAGGGCGATGCTGTAGACCAGCTGGCTGAAGTCAGATAAGAAGGCAAAACAGTACACAGCGCTGGATGCGGTAACTGTGCGGAAGGCAAACTGCGGCGCTGCCAAGGTCGAGGCGGGGACCCAGAGCAGAGCTACTGTCAGCTTTATTCGACGGTGCATTCTCGAACGATATGCCCAGGTGGGGTGCACCACTGTAAGGTAACGTGTCACAGCCAAAGCAGCGAGGGTAAAGACTGAAGCAGCTGAGCATGCCACACCCAGGAAGCTGATGGCCTTGCACAGGAAGCTGCCGAAAGGCCAGAAGCCCAGGGTGATGGCAGAGGTGTGGAAGGGCAGGCAGAGCAGCAGCAGCAGGTCAGCGGCACTCAGAGCCAGCAGCAGCGTGTCTGTACCATGTGGGGGTTGACTTTCTTTCTTCCTCCTGCCAGTAAGAATGGTGATGACCAGGGTTTGGCCCACCAAGCCAGTCACTAGAATTAGCCCGTCCAAGATTGGCACCACGGTCTTAATCAAAGCTTCAGCTGCCCTGTCCATCTGGCCAAGGCTACTGCTGTTTACTTGCTGCCCCAAAGTCTCCATGCATTCACAATAAAAGTCAATTTGCTAATTAATCTAATGGCCTGTTAATGTTGAGTATCAGAACAGCATGTTCACACAGTGTCTGGGTGATGCAGCTCTTTGCTCCAGTTCATGTCTTATATTGTATTAATCACAGGTATGACCACACTCCAATAGGTACTCTCGTAATGATAGCGATTAGTTAAGCAGTTAAGATGGCACCGGACAGTTGACTTCTTCATTGACATTCATAATCTGTGCTCTCGCAGGAAAAGAGAATAAAAAGCATATATTTACTTGTAGCAGTTGTAATTCATTCATTTCAAGTGCCCAGAGATAATCTAGTGTTTAAGTCCATTGCCTCTTGAGCCACACATGCTCAGAGTCCCTCTCAAAATGTGCCTCTCCCTCTGTGTCATTGTCACTGTTTTCCAGCTGTTGGAAAAAAATTTTAACTAATCAAAGATGATTGGATATGGCACTCTTCTCATCTGAAAGTCTCAGAAAAACTTCTCTCAAAATGTTGTGCTGTTATCCAGTTTTACTCAGGAAAAATAGTAGAAACATGACCTTAAGTAGCAGTCCTTTGCACACTGGCTTTTCCCTGGCTGCATCAGCATGTCCTTCATTATCCAAGGAAGAGCAGATTGGGTCAAATCCGGAGAGATGTCAGTGCAACAGTTACTCTGTGTTGCCTGGTTTCAAAAAATCGATACAGCCAGAGGACAAATTCATCCCAGTGGTTGCTAACAGACATTCCACTTTAAAAGCAGTCAATGCTACTTGATGCTAAGTGGTCACCGCGGCAGGAGGCATCTTATCCATTTAGAAGCTCAACTCGCAACCCTGTAGACTTCACCAGCAGAAAAGTTACTTTACAATTAACATGACCTTCGAGCTTTGAAGGAAAAAATAACTAATTAGTGATTTTTCAAATTAACAATAACAAAAGCTTAGTAATTCTCAGGTGTCACTTGGATTTCTATGCTGCTCCTGTGATAGTCTGAAAGGCTCTGTTCTGAGTGACAATGGTCTTTCCAACAGGTTTTCCCCACTGTTTGCACAGTAACCAGGGGCTGAGCTGATCTAGGCAAGGGGAGGGGTGACTGTGCTGTTTCTCATTACATAATATTGGCTTGAACCTACTTTATTCATCTCTGTTCAATGTGTGTGATCTTCCCTCAGTCCAAGCAATTAGCTGCTCAAGTACACCTTTTTCTCATTTCTGTTTTGTACAGCCTGATCGTTGACACAAACGTGGCTTTGTTTGCATGACTCTGTGCTCAGCCCTAAACTGGTCTTTTAGTTGCATTTTAGGTTACTTAACAAGGCATTCAGCCTTAAAATTGTCCTGCATTAAGGTTGATTACGACACGTCGTCACTCACCTGAAACATCTATTAAAGGGCAATTATTGACTTTAAGCCAAGAGCAAACAGTTGTGTGGAGTGTTCAGGTTTTTATTGTTGGATGTAAGTTGTCATAAATGTGGTTGCTAGTGTGACCAAGAACAGATGGATGCACACCTTGGAGCTTGTGAGACGGCAGTACAGTGTCCTTTTCCACAAGGTTGTGTGCCGTGTATGTACCACAGATAAAATATTACTACTACTGAATGCGCTATGAGTTGGGGCGTTCACAGGACAAAAGGACGATGGATATGTTTGCCATTCATGGCTGACTTCTTCACCCTGACTTATGTCCCTATAGTGACTCAAGCTGTTCCAAAGGTAGTTTTCTTCCCAGAACAAGAAGTCACTATGAATGAGAGTGTCCACAGGGAGCTGTATTTGTATGTGCAGGCAGCCAGCCATGAAATGACAGGATGATACAGACTCTTTAAACTCTCTCCAGGAACAGCAGGCATGGCACATACTCTGCCTTGTGTGGCACCGTTTCCATTTTACTCTTTCTTTTTCACTTTTCTTTTTAACCTTGTCTTTTCTTCCTCATAGTGTTTTCATTCATGAACTGATGTGGGATGATGGGAATAACCTTAAAAGCATTTACCACTGCCTCTTTAATAAAGTCTCAGAGTTAACCATGGGAGCAACTTGTTAAACTATGACAGTGATTAACGATTTGTTGAATTCTCACTGATGGTCCTCATTAAAGCTCCTACTAACACCCCTGAGAGGTGATATTTTTATCGTGAAATGAAAAGAGTTTGGTTTTCTCAGGCTTTTTGCTTTTTAAGAGCTACAGTCAGAAAAACTATCGTCATGGGTCCAAAATATTTACCGTGTGCCAACTTCCTCCTTCTCTGTTCCACAGATGTAGGGTCAGTTGAGGGCCTGGCATACCACCGTGGCTGGGATACACTCTATTGGACCAGTTACACAACCTCCACCATCACTCGCCACACTGTGGACCAGAGCCGCTCTTTGGCCTATAACCGCAACACTGTGGTCACTATGTCTGGAGAAGACCACCCCAGAGCCTTTGTACTGGACGAGTGTCAGGAGTGAGTCATTAATATTGAAACTCTGTGTTCTGGACTGTATCAGGGCCCAGTTCCAATACTATTTTTCTTTTGAACAGCAGATTTATTTTGGTTCAGTCAACCATAACTTTTGTACTAAGACATTTTGGAAGCTCCCACTGCACATCATTATGCTTGTCCTGTGTTTGTTCCCACTATAGTCTCATGTTCTGGACCAACTGGAACGAGCAGGCTCCCAGCATCATGAGGGCCTCTTTGAATGGAGCCAATGTGCTTGTGATCATCGGCAGTGACATCAAAACTCCCAATGGCTTGGCAATAGATCACCGTGCTGAGAAACTCTACTTCTCTGACGCCACGCTGGACAAGATTGAACGCTGCGAATATGATGGAAGCAGCCGTTATGTAAGACGGCCCTTTAATTTTTCCCGGTCATAAAAAAGACTGCATCAACACTTCTGTGTTCTGTGAAATGATGGCTAAAATTTCCTGCTTCAGGTCTTGTTGAAGAATGAGCCTGTCCATCCATTCGGCCTGGCCGTCTATGGAGACTACATCTTCTGGACTGACTGGGTGAGGAGGGCCGTCCTTAGAGCTGACAAATACACAGGAGGAGACATGAAAGTGCTGCGTGCCGACATCCCTCAGCAACCAATGGGCATCGTTGCTGTAGCCAATGACACCAACAGCTGTAAGTATTATTCACTGAAGTCAAGTTTCTACAGATTGCTCCTCCCAATTACATAAGTCCAGCGAGTGTCATTGCAGTTTATAGAGGCTTGTTTTTCCATGTTCTAAAAAGGCTGAGTTTTTCTCTGTGGCTCTAGGGAGGGCCATTTGAGTCTGTCAGTCAGTCTGAAATATCTCAACAAGTATTTTATGGATTGCCATGAAATTTAACACAGATGTCTATGCCCTGCTCAGGATGAACTGTGATCACTTTGGTGATCTTATAACTTTTCTTCTAGCACCATCATCAGGTCAAAATGTTTGTTTATCCAATACTTTGATTTATGACAAAATACCTGCAATACTAATGACATTCCCATCAGCCTATGCTGTACGTTGTGTTTATTGCTAATTGTCAAATATTAGCATGTTAACACTATTCTGACATGGTGAACATGGTAAACATTACGCCTGCTAAACAGCATCATGTAATCATTGTCGTTGTGAGCATGCTGCCGTTAGAATTTAGCCTCCCAGAGCCGACTGTAGAATCTTATCTTGTACATCATCAACGGAAACGTCCACAGACTGCTCAGATGGACAAGCTAAATAGTTAATGCTACTCTTTCTGCTTCATTGACACTTTCTTTGACTTCATATCATCAGATACATTACATCATGCAGGGCTTTCTGTCAATCATTTAACATGCAGTGTCCACATGGAAATAACACATAACATCACAACCCTAACTTACATTTGTCTTATACATTCTTCAGGTGAGTTTTCACCATGCCGAACAAATAATGGAGGTTGCCAAGACCTGTGTCTGCCCACATCTGATGGACGGGTCAACTGTAGTTGCCGTGGAGACAGACAACTTCTGGAAGACAGCACCTGCGCTTGTAAGGGAGAAGTTCTTTAATCATTTTGGGATAACATTTTTAGAAAGCCTCCTCTTGGTTAAAATGTTATGTTGCTGAATTTCAAACGTTTCTACCTCTCCAGCACTGAATATGTCATGTGGAAGTGTGGATGACTTTGAGTGTGGAAATGGCGACTGTATCAACTACAGCCTCACCTGTGATGGCATGGCCCACTGCAAGGACAAGTCTGATGAGAAGCAGTCCTATTGCGGTAAGTCTAACTAACTATTAGTTAGTGAATAATTCATCATCATATTATTTGCAGACAATTAGCAGAGGGTCATATTCAAAGCATCAAAGTGCACACAAATAGACAAATTATTATTGGATCCCGAGGAGAGTGAGGGCTAATATGTGACTACTGTCAAGTAGAAAATGACGAAAATGATGTGGGGGGAAAGAAATATAAATTTGGAGCTAACCGGAGGTGTAGAGGGAAATTTAAATGTTTAATAGAGTATATTTAGTTCAGCTTATCAGTTTAATTTATAAAAAAGCTAATTAGTAGATTTAGGCCATATTTATAATATATGAAAAAGGACTCTGCACTTCAGCTAACTCTAATCAACTACTGTTCTTCCACAGCCAATCGAATTTGCAAGAAAGGCTACAGACGCTGCATGAATGGCCGCTGTATCGGCCACCAGTTCTGGTGTGATGGCACGGATGACTGCGGTGACCACTCAGATGAACTGCCCTGCAACAGTGAGTCATTAATGTCAATTTTATTGCTTCAACTGATTGAAAAATCATTAATTAAGTATTTGATAGAGGGTGTACTTCCACACTCACAAAACTCCTGTGCATCCTGCAGTGACCCTGTGCAAAGTAGGAGAGTTCCAGTGCAAAGATGGAAGCTGTATCTCCAACTACAGCCGCTGTGACCAGGTGGTAAACTGTGAGGATGCTGGTGATGAAATGAACTGCCGTAAGTAATCTACATAATGATTTGAAAGAAATTATTTAAGGGGGAAGTTGGCTTAACAAGAATGACATTAAAATGGGAAAATAAGCTTAATGGATCAGTTACGATTTATTTAAAGTTGGTGTTCAAAATCTTTTTCCATTATTCTCAGAACCCACTGATTGCTCCCGTTTCTTCCGCCTGGGAGTGAAAGGAGCGTCCTTCCAGAGCTGTGAGAAAACAACTCTGTGCTATCTGTCCTCATGGGTGTGTGACGGCAACAACGACTGTGGAGACTTTTCAGATGAGAGAAACTGCCCAGGTTTGGTGCTTTGTTTCCCCTCTAAAATTCCTTTGGCTTGTCTAAAATTGTCAGAGATTTTACATTATGTTTTTTTCTGTTGTCTTGCAGATAAAAGGAAGCTTAAATGTCCAGTCAACTTCTTTGCTTGTCCCAGTGGTCGCTGCATTCCTATGAGCTGGACCTGTGATAAGGAGAATGATTGTGAGAATGGAGCGGATGAGACACACTGCGGTCAGTCTGCTACAAAGTTGTCCTCCAATACCCTTATTTTTTTCTTGAAAACACAAAGCATACCAGAAAAACCAGACTATTTTTCTTTAGGCCTACCACTGCACATGGAAAAACATGACTTACGGTTAGGGTAAATTGAATAATGTCTCCAAAATGCTGAGCTCTCTTTGCCATCCTTTGCAGACAAATTTTGTACATCCACTCAGTTTGAATGTGGGAACCATCGCTGCATTTCCTCCCACTGGGTGTGTGACGGCTCTGATGACTGTGGTGATGGTTCGGATGAGGACCAGAAATGCAGTAAGTGACGTATTACTTGTGCTTGCCAATGTGAAAGTACTTTCTCCCACGCCTAGTAGAGGCATTTGACTTAATTTCGCACAATTTCCTAATGTTATATCACCATGTAACTTTCCCATAATGTTGTCACAGAATCCAAGACCTGCAGTCCTGAGGCTTTTCAGTGTCCCGGCTCCCACATGTGTGTACCTCAACGCTGGAAGTGTGATGGAGACAAGGACTGTCCTGATGGAGCTGATGAGAGTGTCAAGGCTGGCTGCAGTGAGTAGGA